TAAAGATTTCTCAAGGATTTCATCGAGATTTCTGAAGATTTCCCCAGGATTTCATCAAGATTTCTGAAGATTTTCCCAGGATTTCATCCAGATTTCTGAAGATTTCCCAAGGATTTCGACGAGATTTCTGAAGATTTCTCAAGGATTTCATCAAGAATTCTAAAGATTTTCCAAAGATTGAATCGACATTTTGAACAGTTTTCACCAGGATGTTATCAAAATGTCTAAAGATTGCATCAGGATGTCATCAAGCGTCTAAAGGATATCAACTGTTTCAATTGGGATTATTCCTAGAATCCAACAATGTATATACTACGATCCTTCTTAAAATTGAACAATGCTTGTACTAAGATTGTTCCTAATATATATAACTTAGTTATACAAAATGGCCGAATTCACTTGATATATGAAAGTAGAGAGTTCCTTATATAGATCGATACCTGTAAAACAAAACGGTGAATGAAATCTGGACAAAATTGGATTTCCAGATTTTTGATTTTGTTGTTGGAAATTTGTAAAAATAGGAATATCTAATAGATTAATTAATTAGCTGATTGATCTGTCAGAATATATTCTAATTCATGAATCCAATTGCGTGGAAAACAGAATTGTAATAGGAAAACAAATCATTTGAAGTAAAATTAATCGGAGCAACACTTTGGAAATTCATTCAAAATATTAAAGTAAAAACTTCCTTATATAGATCGATATCTGTAGAACAAAACGGTGAATGAAATCTGGACGAAATCGGATTTCCAGATTTTTGATTTTGTTGTTGGAAATTTGTAAAAATAGGAATATCTAATAGATTAATTAATTAGCTGATTGATCTGTCAGAATATATTCTAATTCATGAATCCAATTGCGTGGAAAACAGAATTGTAATAGGAAAACAAATCATTTGAAGTAAAATTAATCGGAGCAACACTTTGGAAATTCATTCAAAATATTAAAGTAAAGACTTCCTTATATAGATCGATATCTGTAGAACAAAACGGTGAATGAAATCTGGACGAAATCGGATTTCCAGATTTTTGATATTGCTTGTCGAAATTTGTAAAAAGAGGAATATCTAATCAATTCATTAGCTCATTCATCCGTCAGAATATATTCTTATTGAAGAATCCGATTGCGCGGAAAACAGAATTGTAATAGGAAAAAAAATCATTTGAAATAAAATTAATCTGAGCAACACTTTGGAAATTCATTCGAAATATTAAAGTAGAGACTTCCTTATATAGATCGATATCTGTAAAACAAAACGGTGAATGAAATCTGGACGAAATCGGATTTCCAGATTTTTGATTTTGCTGTTGGAAATTTGTAAAAAGAGGAATATCTAATTAATTCATTAGCTCATTCATCCGTCAGAATATAATCTTATTCAAGAATCCAATTGCGTGGAAGACATAATTGTATAAGGAAATACATCATTTGAAATAAAATTAATCTAAGCAACACTTTGGAAATTTATTCAAAATATTAAAGTAGAGACTTCCTTATATAGATCGATATCTGTAAAACAAAACGGTGAATGAAATC